TTTAATGCCCAGATGAAAATCATATTTGCATTTTATGATTACTTCTTTGAATTACTTTACTTTTATAATTTAGATGAATTATATTATAGTTTTTATAACTATTAATTATTAATTAATAATGAATTTTAATTATATGCATTTTAATTATTATTTTTAATTTATAATATAAGACATAAATTTATATAATTATAATCTATAATAACCATAATACAATATACGGTAAAAACATTTTTAATGTTAAATTTTATGAATTAGAATTTAATTCGTTTTTGATTTTATAATTTTTATTAATTTTACATTTAATTGTATTTCTTTTAATATAACACATTATCTCTCATTTTGATTATAATTATTGTCTATAATTAATGCTTGAAATCATATTTTAAATCTAATTCAGTTGAATTGTTTATTAATTTTATAACATTTGTATTACAATTCAATTTTCATAAATAAATAACAAATTTTAACTGCAAAATAAAAGCATAAAAATTAATACAATTTCGTATAATTATGAATAAAATTGCCAAAAATTGGTTAACAATATTACATCTCATAATGAATTGAATCAATTATTACAAACTCATTGACAAATTGATTATGAATTTGATTAAAAGTAAATGCAGACAAACTGTAATGAATTACAAAACCATAAATTTGTAAATCAATTGTTCATGATTAACGTCACATTAAATATAACCCCCATTTATATAATGCATACAATATTTATATACAATTTCATTACAACTCAACCCCCATATTGTCGTAATTTATATCCATTTGTTATTACAATGACTGCAATGCATAACAATAGAAAACATCATTTTTAGTGAACACATGTTTTGAACCAAATATAACGATGTCTTCAGCGACCAAATCATATTCTTCGGCAGTAATTAATGGCAAAATGTGGTACTTTTGTGTCGTAGAGGACGAGTGCAAAGCCAAAGACACCACCGAAGATGGTATCGTTGACCACGTGTGGGACAAACACTTGAGACACGCGGCCGACACACCACCCCTTACGCCCGGATCTGCTTCACCGGACGTGTCGTCCATTCACTTGACCAATGATAGGTTGGATGAGTCGTCAACCGACGGCTCGTTTGACAACTGGACTACTGAGGAGGAAGACAATGACTGCCGGGATGTGTCCCAATCATCTGATACTGAGCCCGAAGTGATGGGTCGGTCGGCGGCCAGCGGTGGTCAGAGCGACACACCGTCGGTGGCGGCCGTCGATTGGATGGACGAAGCGTTGGACGAGTTGTTTGACTCGACAGATGGCCAGATGGACACCGAGGAGGAAGACTACGATCTCTGCGCTAAGTTATACTCATCGGTAGCCAACTGTGCGAACGTTGGGTCGCCGGCGATGAGTGACCAGTGGGTGGCCGACAAACCCTTTGGTCCTTACGATCATTATGTGGTGAGCCGTAAACGGGACGACAACGAGACAAATGGTGAGCCATTTTATCGCTGCGGTCGCGCCGACTGCGGCCGAGCGTACGGCTCACTCGGCCGAGTGGTCAGGCATTTGGCTGACCATCGATGCGGCTATACTTTTGATGACAGCGCCGACAATTGGATGGCCACCAGTAATGTCTGTCGGCGATCAAACCTCGACCGCTATCGAGTGTTAGTACCGGACATTGATATACGATATAAATGTCTGTTCAGCGACTGTTCGTATGAATGCTCGAAGTCATCATCGATTAGGGATCACATCCATGGCCTACACGTCTGTCCGTATCGTATGCATCGACGCAGTTATGGTAAGGCATGTCGTGTGACACCCGTCGCACCCATTGGTGACGAAAGTGTTGGTAATAATTGTGAGATAACCGATGGCTTTGTCGGATCAAATGAAGAAGACATTGTCGACAATGAAGAAGTTGTGTTGGAGTTCGAGCCCTATTCTGCGAATATTGCGCACAACAAGCGAAAAGTCGGCCAAACGAGTGGATCAGCTAAGAAACGGTCGATGAATTGGCACCGAAACAATCCACAAGTGGCCGACCATTCGGCTATTGATACACAACAGTCGGCGCGCTCTCTGTCGCCATCCGTCCACTCGAACGACAATATGTCGGACGAAACGTTTGTGTTAACCGATGGCCCGATGGATGTGCCGCTCGACGAAGAGAGTGTGGACGACGTCTGGGGGCAGAGTATGGACTACTCTTTGGGCGGCGACGGGTCGAGTGAGTCCACGCTGTCGGCCAACAGTCTATTTAATGTATTGGATTATCAGACGGCAAATAACATGAGAGTTAGTCCGCAGAAGAGTAGGTCCAAGCGAGCGATCGGCGGCCCCTTTAGGCGCCGATACCGATGCGATCGCGAGGGTTGCGACGCCGCGTACGCCACACTCAACCGATACAACAAACACGTGTCATACCATCTCTGCGGTTATCGTATGGACGACAGCGGCGGCGCTGACGACCCTGTTGTGAACGACGCCGGTGTCTGCGGTCAGCCTAACATCGATCGCTATTTGGAGATAAAAGTGGCCGCCGATGGCTGCAAGTGGTCTTATTGTCTGTTTAATGGATGCGATTATAAGACAAAGAACAGCTCTAACTGTCGAGACCACATCCACACCAAACATATCTGTCCTAAGAGGAGCGCCGGTTCGCCCGTTCGGCCAATTTCTACGTCTATTACACGTATTTTGGCCGAAGAACCGATTGGCGGCCAAAATGATGCCACTCTAGCACTGAATTGTGCCGCAAACGCTGTGCTGAAGAATGGGATCAATTCTGATCGCAAAATATCTCAAGAATTTGCGATGAGAAGTGTTGGCCAAACGAGTGGATCTGTTCTCAAGTCGGTAGCAGCCGATGAATGGAAGGTCAAAATACGACCGATGGGCTCACTCGGAAATGGTGTCCACCGATTCAATGAATCCATGGACTAAACCTGAAGTCAAGACCCGGAGGAATGGTTTCCGTGATGTCTATTACTTGCCTTTTATGCCATTTCTTTAATCGACTTTTAATTACATTTCTATAGCTATTAATATATTATAATTTGCTTGTATTTTAAGTTATTTTTTATCATGTTTTATATAACTTTTAAAAATTTCATATTTAATTTGTTGCCTTTTGAATACTCGGGTGTAAACCGGTGTCCAATAGGTTAGTGTAGGTTCTGGGGCTCTGCGGCTATCGGGTAATGATGTGTTCACCGAATAGACACAAATAAACAACAATTACACTCTTTATTAGGAAAACACTAAATTATACGTAATAATAACAGAGATAACAAAATGGTAGCGTGCATTTGATATGCAAATATAATATATCAATTAATAGTTTTCATAATTAATATTCATTAGTATTGTATTGTAATGCGAGAGAGAGAGAGAGAGAGAGAGAGAATCGTATTATAGCGGCAAAACATATCCCATATTATAAGCATATAATATACGAATAAAAGTTATAATCATAATTAAGATTAAGATTAAGAATATTCTGTTGATTGGCATCAAATTAATTATAAAACACTTTATATAAATCATTATTAATTCTAATTTATGCTAATATTTGTGTTTATAATAGTATCTATGAATTTATTGTGTTTTAAAAAATATTAGACATTTGTTTTATAACAGAATATTCCTATTAATGTTATTTTTGCTAACAATTTATAACTTATTGTAATTATGATTAAAATTTTGTTTAAAACCAATTGACTTTCAACACGTTGTATATGAATTTGTAATACAACATTAAGACCCCTTTACAATTGCAAGTCTATGGCAATACCCCTCACAACTTGCACTTATAGGGAGGTGTGGGCTAAATAAGTAACAATATCTGCGATGAGTACATATTATAACAATACAATATTCATTGATGCAATATTTGCTTTTGTTATACAATTCTCCATAAATAACATGATTTAATTATAACCCCCTCTCAGTGTTAACGCTATACAGCTATGTCTGTCTAAGTATTCCCCCATTTGTTGTATTTTATGAACAATTTTAGTGCCAAACATGTAATAAACTTTTCATTCAAAGTTTTAACTGAAAAAACATTTCAAACATTATTAACGAGTAATTGATTTAACAATTAGTGAACGACTGATCATAATTGCGGACACGAAGACATGGATTCCTTGGAAGCGTTGTATGACTCGGCGTCAATCAATGGCCAGATGTGGTACATGTGTCTCATCGGCGGTAATCAATGTAATAAAGTGGAGGACAGCGAAGAGGCGATCGTCGCACACGTGCGGACACAACACTTACGGCAATCGGTGGCCAACACTTTGCCCACACCTTCTCCATCGATGTCGTCGGCGTCCTTTGAATCGGACGATGATTTAGACCCGAAATACGTGACCACCGATGAGGAGGAGGACGACGGCCGGCATACTATGGACAGGGAGTCAGACAACTCGACAGGCGTGGAGTTGTATGAGAGCCGGCCATCGAGTGTCGGCCCAACTGCGAGGCCAATCATAAGCGAACAATCGGCGGACGCTGGCAGCCAACGGGTGTATAAGTGTCGGCGCTGTCATTACCTGGCGCTCAATCTCTCGGCTCTGGCCAGTCACGCGCGGAACTCGCATCCTGTCTGTGACCGCCGCCGTGCTCTCCCGCAATGGTTTCGTTGCACTCACTCCGGCTGTAACGCGAGGTACGCCACCCCTACACGACTGGTCACACATGAAGCCCATCATCTGTGCGGCTACGGCTTTGATCGTATCGCCGCCCAACCCGTGACCGGTGTCTGCCGTCGGGAAAACATCGACTCATATGTCAAGGAAGTGGTGTCGGCGACCGGCCGCAGCTTTGAGTGTGTGTTCACGGGTTGCGAACTTAACACGAGATCTATATCTTCGATGAAGGATCACATCCACGGCCAACACGTCTGTCCCAATCGGAAGAATCTTCGCCGTAGAGAAAGTGCGACACTAATGGCCGCTAATGTGACCACTGATGACGGTCTGGGATCCAGTGAATAGAGTGGCAAAAGCTATGGACGGCTATTATGTTTAGTTTTTATACTCACTTTTCTGTGCCATTACTTAATTATCTCTCATTTTAATCATTGATTTCTTTTAATCTTAAGACAAATAATTGTGTTTTAATTGTAAGTTTTATAGTCATTATTATTTAATCATTTACTTTGTCTTTGAAGTTAAAAGTTTTACTTAATATACTTAAAAATACTTAATATTTATATTCATTTTAAATCTAAATCATTGACCAGTGTGGTTTATAAAATGTTCATTTATATAACCTTCTCTTTTAATTGTTTAATCTTTTATTTTAATCTTTAATTAGTTATTTGATTATAAAAATTAATATTAAATACAATCTCAAGTGTTATTTCTTAATCAATTATTGCATTAAAAAATCAAATATTTGTTGTTTTTATAACAATTTGTATTTTAACATTAATAATAAAACATTAATTTTTATAAATAACACATGATTTATATAATTTTGTATTAAATACTTAACTAATTGCGATTAAAAGTTTCAAAACTCATATTAAGCACACGTTGTATGCGAATCATTCACACCATATAATCCCCTTTGCAATAGTATTGTAATGGGAATACCCCTCACAACACATTCAAACAGGGATTTAAACAATTAAATAGTAACTGTATTTGTGAGGGCAAACCACAATTGTCACAATTTTCAATGATGAAATTATAACACAAATAACGTGTCAATATATGAGCCCCCGATTCAGTAAACACTATGTGTTTAACATTAATAAAACTCATATATATTTAGCCCCCTTTTGGTCGTATTGTACGAATAATTGTTTAAAAAGTGATTTGTTTACGAAAACAGTTTCGCAATACTTTTGTTTAGTTTTTTAGTTTTAACTGCAATTAAATGACATATAAATGGTATTACAGTTTGTGTTGACATCAAAATTAAGGCCAAATTAACGTAAATTTTTAATTCAATACTAAATTATAGTTTCAAACAGTTTTGTGAGCAAAACATGTGTTGATTGACGTCTGATAACAGTTTGCAAAACACTTGTGTTTTTTAAATGTAATTATTATTTAAATTTAAAAAACAAACAAAAATTAATTATTGATTTCAATCAATTAGTGAACGACTGGTTATAGTTGTGGACAACGAAGACATGGATTCGTTAGACAAGTGGTGCGATTCGGCGATAATCAACGGCAAAGAGTGGTATATCTGTGTCTTCGGCGGCAATGAATGCAATGAAGTCGAGGACAGCGAAGAGCTGATGAGAGCTCACTTGCGGACACAACACGGGTTGCAAACGAGCGTCCATTTGGTGGACAACCCGCTGCTGACGCCCTCACCATCTCTACAATCGGGCGATGATATTAACCCGAAGTGCGAGACCAGCGACGAAGAGGCGGCCGACAACAGCGACCACAGTATGGGCGCCGAGTCTGACGAGTCGGGCGACCAGTCGTATATCAGCCGTGTCTTCGGCACTTCCGTGAGAGCCAAACGCCCGCCCAGTGGTGACGCGGGGGAGCGGCCGCACAAATGCACGCACAGCTGGTGTGGCTCTTCATACTTCACCCGCCAAAGACTCAACACTCATTTGGATCACCACCGGTGCGGCTACGGCTTCGACAACACGCCCGGCGCCCCTCCCGTGACCGGTGTCTGCCGTCGGGCGAAAATTGACTCATTCGTGACGACTATACGCCCAATCGATGGCCAGAGAAGCTTTGAGTGTTCGTTCGATGGCTGTGTTTATAAGTCGGCGGTGTTGTCGCATATGAAGGATCACATCCACAGCCGACACGTCTGTCCCAATCGGCCTAATCTTATTGGCCGACGCAGTGGCTGTTCGTCACGGGTGTCGGCAACTGATGAGACACACGATGACAGACGGCGCCAGTCATCGCCGTCCTTCAAATCGGACGATGATTTGGATCCGAAGTACGTGACCACCGATGAAGAGGAGGGAGAAGGCGGTGGACATGATATGGACGTACAGTCAGACTCGTCCGGTAGTCACGTGTCAAGTGGTGACCAGACGTCAGCCGTTAGACCTGAGAAAGGGAAGCGTTCAACAGATGGGCAGTCGACGAGCCGTAAGCCCGCGTTTAAGTGTCGACACGAGGGCTGCCATTACGAGACTCCTAACAAAACACTTTTGGGCCGTCACGTGCGGGACGAACACCCGGTAAGTGGTCGTCGCCGTCGCCGCCGTCAGTCAGTGGTCGTCAACCGACGGTTCCCTTGCGATCGATCCGACTGTAACTCTTCGTATTCAAACCGCGATACACTCGCGCGACATATGGCGAGCCATCGGTGCGGCTATAATATGGACGATACGCCCGATCAGGTCAGCCATCCGTCTGACGCCTGCCGGCGGCCGAACATCGACTCACAGTATAAGACAAAACGTACCGCCGAAGACGTGAAGATGTTTGAGTGCGGCTTTGATGACTGCCCGTACAGCACGGCAGTCATATCGTCGATGAGAGATCACATCCATGGCATACACGTGTGTCCCAATCGAACCAGTCTTCGTGCGGCCACACCTCGAGGCCGTACACCTGTTGGTGGATCGACACGTCGGGTGTCAAACACTCGACGAGTGGACGCTTCCAGTGATGAAGAAAGTGATGATATTTCTGAGGCGAGTGAATACAACTTGATTTTGAGTTCTTCTCAGCGCATCCGCAAACAGAGTGCCAGTCATGTAAGCGATGCCATTGAATCTATGGTCAATGATATCAACCGCAACGCGAGGACACAACCCCCACCACAAACGCCCGGCCAATCAGCGGTGGAGAGCGATCACAGCGATAGTGATTTGAACGCGGGTTTGCCTAATGTCTCTCCCGATGATATGAACGCGCGGTCAAAGTCTTCGGGTAGCGATCGGCCCGCAAACCAATCGCTCGCTCACAGCAGCGGCGGTCAGTCTCTGATGCCTAACAAACGGAAGCGTTCAAAAGAGGATCAGCCGGTTATGGATAGCAAACAAGTGTACGCGTGTGAGCACAAGAGCTGCCGTTTCAAAACCCACAGCAATAAAATTTTGACCCGTCACGTGACTGATCAGCACTCGGTCAGTGCCTCGACGCGACCGTTTCGCTGCCGTCTCAAAGGGTGCTACTCTTCGTACTCAACCCGCGCCCGATGGGTCACTCATATGGCGAGCCATGGGTGCGGCTATAATATGGACGAAATGCCCGATCAGGTCAGCCAACCGTCCGACGCCTGCCGTCGAGCGAACATCGATTCTCAGTGCGAGAGGTCTGCCATTACCACCGATGGCCAGAAGAGCTTTCAGTGCCCGTTCGATGTCTGCGAGTATAACACACCAATCGGAGAACGAATGAGGGATCACATCCACGGCCAACACGTCTGTCCCAATCGGTCTAACCTTCGGCGCGAACTTAAGTCGGGCCGGCCTTTGAAGTGTCGGAGCGTTGAGAAGCGTACGCCACGCGAGCGTACCGTGTCTTCGGCTCGACGAGCGGACACTTCCAGCGATGACGACAGCGATGACGACAGCGATGGCGAGTCTGACGCCAGCGAAGAGGCCGTAGAGTTGAGTCGGCGCAAGAGATCGTCTCAACGGATCGCCAATAAGAGTGTCCGTCAAAAAAGGAGTGCCGTTCAGACGAGCCGAGAGACCGCTGTTACCGACGCTCAAACACAACCCGTGGCCTCAACTTCCAGACAATCAGTGGTGGCAAAGCTTAAGGCGAAACGGAATCGCAATCCGCGGTCTAGTGATGGGAGTAGTAGTGGTCGGGATTCAGATAGAGATATCTGGTCTACGGGTAGCGAAGCGGCCACAGAGTCGGGCGCGTCGGACAGCAATTGGTCCGAAAACGGGTCGACGACCTCACGCGGCGGCCACAAGTCTGCGATGTCTAAGAAACACAAGCGCTCGACAGCGGATCAACCGGCGATCGTCACGAACTCGAGTGCGTTGTATGAATGCGGCCGCGAGTACTGCGACTTCACTGCCGGCGACAAAGAGGTTTTGGCCCGACATATGGCAGACAATCACAGCT